CCTGTGTGCCTAGCCACATCTAGTTTATATTTAATACTGTAGATCAATACCAACAATCAAAAGCTTTTCTGAAACTCAAGTGACGATTACAAAATATCACCAATCATTATTAATCATTAACCAACAGATGTAGGTTACAATACTTAGGTACATTTCTCTCAGTATGTCAAACCCTGCATTTTGTATGTCATGCATCTCTGTCTTATTGTGACCCTACTGTGATGATGACGACGACGACGACAACAACAACAACAACAACAGTGCAGTCAGCAGGGACAGATCTGCTGCTCTACCTTGTCAGGGACAGGCATCTTCTTGTATCCCTCAGGGTCATCTTCATCATATTGCACTGGCTTCTTTTGCCTTGGGGCCTTTATAGTTCTGAATGGTAAAAGAAAGGAGACAGACATTAAATAATATAATTACAACACTTATATAACAATACAACACACAGTATCGAAGGATTTCCCTCTCATATAATAACATAACTAATTAAAACACATGCATACAACATTCAAGTTTACAGATACCTAAATACATACATTCATACTTAGACAAGAATGAAAGCACAATACCTAAATAAACTGAACTAAAAGCAAACATACATGGTTAATAAAAAGGGCAAAACTGTAGAAAATTGGGATACGTTTTCAAGGAATTTGGAAAATGTTTAGCGTTATAATAATGGAATAACTTAGTGTTTACTGTAGGTCCGGTTGGAAAAGGAAAAAACGTAAACTTTTTAGACAAAAATCGATTACAAGGTGTCAAAACATATCATAAACATAGACTGTATCAGAACACCTCTGCCTAACTATGAGGCTAAATGCAGCTTTAGCAGCATAACAATCACATAGCAACATAAAAACAAGCAGACTCTGGTTTAGCTAACTTTGGCCGAACTCACCTTTTTTCTCGAACCATGATGGAAACGATACACTGTTAGCTGCACGTTAGCAGACAAATAGGACGTTACAGTGGAAAAGAAGCAATGCTTTTAAACACCAGTGCTGACAACTGGAGATAAAACAAAAGAGAACTGTATTAAATATCCAGTTGTATAGCGTTGAATCGATACACTTCCACTCTCGTTGCCATGTGCTTCCGTGATTTCTTCTTCTACTTTACTTTACATGACGGTCTCCACAGCAACGTGAAGGTTGCACACCGCCCTCTACTGTGAGGGAGGCCTACATACATCTATTTGATTTAGTGTTTGAGTTTTTAATGACTTGTTTACGGGTTTGAATGATGGTTTGAATCAAATACATTGAGTCTACACCTACACCAATTGTAACCCCAGCCACCCTCGCCACCAGTAAATAAAATCCCACTTTAATATTGTGTTAGCTGTAATTTCGCCCGCCAATAGTGTTTTATTTGTCAGATAGTTTACATATTTTTTCTTGGTCAACTTTTTTATTTTCACTCTTTTAGTTATGTTTTGTTCTATTTTGAGATGTTTTTATTGTACAATTGTTTATTTTCCACTCTTTTTGTATTTCTAATTAAGTGCAATACTTGTGTTATGCTGCAATGAAAACATCTCCCAATTTGGGATCGATAATATATCTTATTAACTAATGTTCAGGGAGAGAACAACAAAACATATGAGTGAATAATATAAAACCGATGAAGCACTGTATCTGACTGAAAATGCAACTCTGCTTGTACGATATTTGGTAATATGAAGATTGTTCTGGATATTATAATATAATACTTAACTCCCAATGATTGCTTGCTATCCAACCTTTAGTCGATCTCTCACATTTCTTCAAATGTGGTCATGTGTCCAGGCAGCCATTCAAACCCAGCAAACATGGTTAAACCGGTTTAAACAGACACTAGAGACAGTAGGTGTATTATTTTATTTGTTCCTTGTTGTACACATCAATGGTCTATGTCATGGTTCATGTGCTGTGAGTCTTAAACGTTTGGCATCAGCTTTTTTAAAAACTCAATTTAAATCAAAAAGTGTAAACTGTTCACCAAGCACATAACCTCATGTGCGTTAACTATTAGCAAAAGGATTTGTGTCTCTTTCTTCTTTAAACCTTTAACATCGTCACCTTTAAAACAATTATTGCATTAATTTCATACCATCTATTTCATGATATACTATATTAATTCCAATTAATATAATATACAAATCCTGACCTTCATACTGTATCAAAACAAATGCACATTTATATCCATTCAATAAAGGTCTAAAGATGTGTTATTCTATATTTCAATCAAAAGGTCCTATTAGAATTTGTACAGCATTGTAGTGGTGAAAAAGGTTAATACTATTGAAGAGGAGCAACATTAACATAACAAAAAACAGGTAGAGGTAGAATTTACATACATGCATATAACAATGGCTTTATTCTCAGAGTCATAGCCTGTTTTGGGCCTGATTTGGGTTAACACTGCAGAGTTTGTAACTATCCACTGTTGACGGCTGTCCTTGGTCAGTGAAAAAAAAACGTTTTTACAGAAGTTATTGATCATGTATGTTCTTCCTTGCTTCTCATTCCTGTTTTCCCTCCGCCTCTGCGAGTGGCCACCTCCAGGACGCATAAGAGGAGCTGCGGGGCCTCTCTCTGGGCAAAAGGTTTTGTGGACTTCCGTACAATAACGGTTTCAACTCATCGTTCCTCTTCCTCATCAGGTTAAGGGCAGGTGTCATCTGATCTGGGTCAAAGCACTGTCAAAGAAAAAAGGAGATTTAAGGCACCAAAAACACATTAAAAGCATATCATTACAAGTTGTGTTTAGTTTAATATGCAAAGTAGCCATTACCTTATTAAATATGTTTGATTTAAAACATGAAACACAAATCTGATTATTGGATAAAGGCTCAATATTCATATTTATCACCTAAAGTTAGACATTTGTTTTTTATTTTAAATGTTTTTGTTCAGAGATATTATGTAAAAAAATGGAAATTAGACATTATCTAATGCTGACTTTTGGTGAAAATGGGGAACATTCTATTTGCGCAAAAAGTTGGGTTATACTTAAAACTCAATGTCTATTTTGGATTTTTGTTTACTTTTCACTAGATATACAATAGGCGACTGTGGCTGCAAGGAAGTGCAGTCGTCTTTCAATCAGGAGGTTGTGGGTTCGATCACAGCCCTTGCAGTCAACATGTTGATATATCCTTGGGCAAGATACTTAACCCCGAGTTGCTCTCGATGGCATGTGTGAATGTGTTGTGTGAATGTTAGCTTACATGAGCAAATGGCACTGCTCTGTATGAATGGTGTGAATGATGACTTGTAGTAAAATGCTTTGAGTGGTCTTAAAGACTGGATAAAGCATTATATAAGTAGAGTCCATTTTCAATTTTACCAAAATAGCCCAAACTCTTCAAATTGACCATTGCATTAAAAATATATGTTTTTCTCCTGTATTGTCTTAGCTTAAAAAGAGTAACATCTCTGTAAGCTTTGAACGGGGCTGTGGATTTATTTTCGTGAGAAGTATCTCCTCCTCCATCACAACTTCTTCACAAGCACATAAAGACAGAGATATAAAGAATCCACTTACACTGGCCATAAACCTTGGCACAGGGACTCCTCTGTTTAGTGTTTTGTTTACACTCAGCTCCATCATAGTCTGGGTCAGTTCTGACGCGGCGGCCTTTGATCCTTTCCTGATCTGTCCTGAAGGGCTCTGCTGGGGATGAGTCCTCTTCATGATGTCACTCAGGGATTTGTAGCTCTCAGACTGCGGCACCATTAGGATCAGAGGTTTCTGTGAGGAGAGAAATGCATCTTAGTTTTCCACAATTTTAACTCAAGTGCTTCGGTAGAAAAGGCCTGTTACTTACTCTAGAAGATGGTTTGCTCTCCGTGGGTGAGCTAGTTTTATTTATGCTTCCCACTTCTCCCAATATGGCTTCCCTCCTTAAGGTCTCTCTTCTCTCCGAAAACGGAAGGATGTTTATATGGTGTGTTGGTTGTGTTCCTTTATCATCAAGTCTTGTTCGTGTTCTGTCATCTAAATTGGTGCTCTTCTCCGCTGAGAGTTGTCGGGAAATAGCCTTATTTATTATGTGATCCACCCTGCAGGGAATAAAAACAATAACACAATAAATCAATCATTTTCTATGGAAATAATCAAGATTCCAGGAAACAGATTAGCATAAAACGTTATTAGAAGAAGACAAGAACAATACTCTTCATCAGTATTATTTAAAAAATGACTGTAAGAAGACATACTTGAAAGTTGGTAATTTATATGGCATATTGTTTGTCACTGGAGAAGTGTTTCGATACACCCTGTCAGATACAGAAAGAAAGCAATATATAAGTCATGCAAACAACCTGTATCACAAAATATTACACAACAATTCTGTGCTAGGGGAAATTAATTAGAGAATGAAAAGAAACAGAAAACATGTTTCAATTTTTCATTTGGGTGTCAGTTTTCAGTATGAAGTTACATTTGAATTAAAGATACCAACATTGTATTTGTTTAAATGACAATTGTAAAAGCATTCTGTATGATTGGTCCAAATACAACTTAGATTGAAGTCAAGATGATCCATGTACCTTTTGTTATCCACAAATTGGTTTCCATTGTAAGTAGGCCTAAAACTGTCCATAAAGAGTGTGTTTTTATCAAACAGCATTTGGCTCTGTATCGGCATTTCCTTGGCCATGATTTCCTCCTGCTGATCAAACAGGAATTTGCTCTGCACCTGCATTTCCTTGGCCATGATTTCATCGTGTTGATCAAGAGGACTGCACTTTGTAGTGTGTATAACCCCCATGGCTACCCAGTCAAGGAGGGAATCAGCAGGTGGGGATGGAGGATTGGTAATCTCAGGCTCATACAGGGGATGTCTTTGAAACCCGAGATCTGAGCGGTCTTTCAGATGATGAGTCACATCTACATGAGTCCCTGCCTCCCTCCATGTGTCGGGGACAGGGAGTGAAGCAGCAAAAAGGGTCCTGAACTCCCTGTCGAATGATTCTACCACTGGTCCGTTCAGAACGGTGATCAGCTGCCGGTGCAGGTGGGCGTCGGTCCATGTGAGGCTGCAGAGTGCAAAGATCAGTGTTTCCGATACATTTAAAGGAAAATGAAGGATGACAGTAAATATTAGGATCAAAACCATACATTCAATCAAGCTGTAAGCCAAGGATGTAACAATATAATATGAAAATGTAAAGAAAAAGTGAATTAACAGTTAAAAAAATGATGGGAATAAAGTACCCATCATTATAACCTTTTTTTATTGAATATAGAAAGAAATGGGTCTATTGAAATTATGAAAAATACAAAAATGGCATGAAGCTATTATCCACATGTCAATGATGATTTCCACAATAAGGAAAAAAATGGGAACTGAGGTAAATGAAACAACTGCTCACCTGTAGCTGCCATGAATCACTGTCTGTAAATCGAACAGAAGGAAATTGTCTTTCATTTCTCCGACCACCATTCTTCCTGTCCTCGAACAAAAGGTTTTCCCACCAAGAACACGCACCTGCATGTTCTGCCAAACCACAAACCAGAGTTGAAATTTGAGATAGAAGGAAACTAAAAGGTGTTGTTTATCTTTGATACAATGAGATGAAGCGGCATAATATCTTACACAGGGTTTATAGTAAACAAGAGTATCCATGCAAGGGGCCCTGTGAGGCTCTATAGACATAGCAGTGCTTTGAGCCAAAAGCTAACGTCAGGGTGTAAACATGCTTACAATCACACGGCTGATGATTAGCAGAAACAGGTTTACCATGTTCACCATCTTAGTTTAGCATGTTAGCATGCACAAATGTGCAAGTTAGTAACAGAAACAAAGTAAAGATGAAGAGATGTGATTGTCATTAGTTTTGCACTTTTTTGCATCATTAACCAAAGTATTTGGCCTGAGGGCATCAGATGAAAGTTAAGGGATCACCAACCTGACAAAATTCATTCTGAGGGGTTGAAATGTCTTCACCAAATGTAATGGCAACCAATACAATAGTCAATGCATTTATCTAAAAACCACAAATGTCAACCTCATGGTGAGCAAGAGTCATTTTAGGGATGGAGAACTAATCGGTTCATTCATCAATTTCATAAACTGCTATCATGAAATGGATGTATATCTTGTAGTAGGGTATTCAACATTAGGCACAGCATTTCACCACCTCAAGAGGAACAGTCAACTGTGAATGCTGTGCAACCAGTTTAACTAATGCCAAGAGTACGTTTCACATTCCTAAGATTATTCAACAGGAATGTAAGAGTAGAAGGATACCACTACACAAAATGCAGTGTATCAAGTTTATAACAATGCTTTAGGATGTAACCTTAAGATGTAACCCAGTGGCCCTTTTGACTGGCGGTGCTTGGGTTGATTTATTGTCATGTCAAACATACCCAATCAAATGGCTGCTAGGTGTGTGCTAATTTGCAGGAGGTGACTCACCGGATGCCTGAGCCTGTTGAGCGTGAAGTTCTCTTGAATGGACCTGTGGTTCAGGATGATGTACACACGGACACCCCGGGAAGCAGCTTTGTGTAAATCTCCAATAATTGCACCATCTGTCAACCTATCCGTCACAATGGCAATTACCTGTGTATTATAAAAATATGTCCCTTAGTCTGTACTTGATCGGATTGTCCAGAAAGTGGTATGCGCAAAATTGAACCCTTTATTTCTTCTTTATTTTTCTAAAAGATTAAAGATATCATATTGATGCAGAAAAGTAAGATGTGATGCTACTTCACAGAAGTAAAACTGAACTAATATTAACCACAAAAGCAGTAAAAGTACTTTGGGTTGATGATTTAACCCTTAGGCAGCATTTGTGTAGTGGAGCTGGTAAAGGTTGCTTCATGTTTCTATATTTTATTTATTGTTGAAAAGTTTAAATTGAAAAGGTTATTTATATTTGATTCTATTCTTTTAGTACGATCTTTAACTTAAGTCTCCAGATTAACATAGCAAAAAAGAAGATGTATCTCTGAAATATAGTGGTGTTAAAGTATTAATTCTCAATAAATTACATTATCATAAAAACAGTTCTTAAATCAGAGTGTTCCAGCTCTACCATATGAAAATAAACGTGTTTATCCATAACATGATATATTTGCATACTTCGCCAGCATTTTGCAAGTGCCATCTGATGATCTGCCTGACAGAAGGGTCCCCCTCTGCAGGAGGGCTGGTGTGGACTCTAACGCTGTCTTTGGCTCCCCAGGGGCTATTCTCAGGCCAGCCCAGCTCCAGGCCCGGTGGTGGTGTGTCTGTGAAGGAGGGGAAGTATGTGGAACAGAAGTCCTCCATCTCTGAGCTGCCGTCCTCTCCATTCCCCTGTCTTTGCACCTGTAGCGGGTGAAGGCGATAGTCCTGAGCCCAGCTGCTTATCTGGCTGACCTCTTCAGAAGACAGGAAGCAGCCGGAGCGCTCTGTGCCGATGGAGCTGTAGAAGGCCTCTGGTCCTGCATTGAGGAGTGTCTCCACTGCCTGACGCTCCTTCTCACAATGGAGGAACTCTGGGGAGGACTCATTCACCGGTAGAAAAACTACATTCTCATCAAGGCTCTGCTCGTGTGAGTTGGACATGACGGCAGCCTGATGTCTCTGTGTAAAACTGCTAACAAAGTTTCCACTACTGACTTCTGTAGTGTTATACCAAATCCAACCCAGACCAGCTCATGTCACGCTTGGATCTAGTAATTCCATTCATTCTTCTGGCAAAAAGTCACAATATCTCCATGTTGGCAAGACCAGCCCCGAAAACATATGATATCTTGAAGGTTCAGAAAATGCTCTGTGAGAAAAAGTCCTGGACACATTTTCAATACATCTATGAGTAAATCATATATATAAAAAAATCATTATGAACACACAAAACAAAATGTGAAACTCACCTCGTGGAAAGCATGTCTCATCTCTCAGCCTCGAGTATCAATAAAAAGCTTTTAAGAGCTATACCTCTTCATGTGTTCCTTCCCATGCCGATCGTCTCACCTCTCCAAACACTTCCACTCCTTCCAACCGACGTTGTTCTCAGATTCCACACATTGTACAAAGCTGACAGATCCGTTCGCTGCTCAGACACACAGTCTAAATCCGAATGTGTCTCTCTATGGTCTTCACAGCTGCAGTATTTTACTTAAATCAGAGTCTTTGGTATACTGGCTCTAGGTCATACACTAAACGCGTTTGACGTGTGTGGCAACAAATAGTGCCGTGTCAACTTTGTCTTAGAGACTGCTTCTTACCTCACAACTTCCTTTTTGAACTGGTCCAGCCTGACAGGTAGGTTTGGAGGCAACAGTTTCACACAACACCTAACTTTCCATCTAAAAAGGTATAATTACAGTAGTTTCCTTTTTATTACCTCTGGGAAAAATGTGTTGGTGAATGTGATACTGCTGAAGTGTAACTGGCCAATTTCTTATTAGTTCATTATAAACTTCCTCTGAAATGATGTGGAAAATGCAAGCATACCACAGCAAAGTAAACATTGAATGCCACAACATGTTGACTGATGCTTTAACAATGATTGGCACACCCTTTAGCAACCACAGTATAATGCCAGAGGATTGCACCGGCTGTTTACTTTAATAAGTAAACAGATATATACAAAATATATCAAACATAATCACAATCATACATTAAGTACAAGGTATACATTGATTAGCAAATACTTCCGTTACAGAATTCTTCATGATTAATATGTTAAGCTTAACCGAGTTTTCTTGATTTGGTCTTGAGTTACAATAACAATGTGTCTCCTAGAGAGTCACGATCATGACATAACGTCCTGCATACCATGTAGCATGGTAGGGTGGATTTTGGGTCTGAAAGTATTACATAATTTAAAGAAGTATTTTCTTCTTAGTCTCTTATCTCCTCATGTGCACTATCTTTACTCTGGAATGTGAGTGAAGAGCTCTTTTTTAAATTTTGCATATTTTCTGTTTGTGGCTCACTGCTTCTTGCGCAGGTGGGCGTATAGCACTCCACTGACCAGGAGGAGAGGGACACACAGCCAGGCCAGGATGAAGCAGTAGCCAAAGCGTCCTTTGCTAAGATCTCTGGATTCACTTAAGATCTCCTTTCTGTGGAAGGTGAAGATGAGGCAAGCAGCAAAGACTGTGAAGCCTGCAGGAGCAAGACATTAAAAGGTTTTAGTTCAAAATGTCTCACCACAGCTGTTCATTTCATGGTATGCATGTGTGACTACCTGATAGGGATTAATTAGGATTCCTTTGTAAACATAAATAAAACACTTTGAAATAGAATTCTCGAAAACAGATGGGCATGAATGTTTTTACAGGATTAACTAGTGCATTTATAGTGGACTATAATTAACTAATATTTTCCGTTTTAAATTATTACAGTCTTGTTTATTATTAATAGCAGCAAGACTGTGAATGTGGGATAGACTGATATTCAAATTGATACAACTATATATTCATCTAAATTAATATAAAGGCACGATTCCAAAAAAACACAAAATAATTAGAGAGAGAAAAACCAAGCTGATTTCACTCATCAAGTTATACTTTGACAGAGGTCTACTCTCGTAACAACTGTAGAAACAAAAGCTACATTTGCAAAGAAAATATAAGTGCAGTCAAGTTTTCACAAAAGATTCAAAGCTTTAATGGCCCTTAAAAGTCAAAAAATAAAAACCTTACTGTTTTTTTTCATTGACAACATTTGATATGGCTTATGTGATAACGTAAGACTTCACCTGCAAATGCCTGACAGAGGCCTGTGAAGTAGAAGAGTCCTCCTCTGGACATGGTGACCAGCTGACCGAGAAAAACCAGGAAGGAGATGGAGGAGAAGACCACAGAGAGGACCATGAGGGCCTGGACCGACTGCAGCCAGTCTGGGAGAGTGGGTCAGAGAATGAGTGTTAGACACTCACTCACAAGCAAAACACAATGCAAAACTTGACCAGTAAATAATGCAGACTAGCATGCAAACAAATAATCTAAAATGTACCGCTCTCATTTGTAGCAGCACACATCCAGGTCTTTGTGGCATTATCATGGAAGCAGTTATACCAGAGGTCTGTGATTTCTAAATCATCCCATATCCACCAGGACTGCAGAAAGAATAAAAGAAAGCAAAAAGAAAGATTGGTTCAGTTTTCAAAGACAGGTTCTCAGAATAGCACAAAACCACAGCTGGCAGTAGTTGATGTGCAACATTTGTGTGTGAGCCTTTATTCACATCATACAGGTATCACCAGTGACATCTACTGTAGGAAGAGAGAAAATATGCGTCTCACCTTCTCCAGGGTGGCGATGAGGAGCATGGCCAAGGTCACCAAATGCAGCACGGTCATGAATATGAGCAGGAAAACCATGGCTGCTTGGAGATGAGGGAAGAGTGTGGTATCCTGTGTACAAACAAACCTGTAATGTAATTATAATTATAGAATTGCATCTGTAAAATCTGTTTGGGCTACAGGAGTGATGTAATGCTCATCAGCAGGTTTCCTCTTGTATTGTATTTGTTCAAAATACCTTTTGTTCGAATAGTGGCCACCTGACTATACCTGTATTAACCATTTGTTTGAAACTTGTTTAGCAGCTGCGTGTTTGTTCTGCCATTGTAGCCAGGGAATGAACAACAATGTGGCGGCACTTTCTGCCTATATATGTAAAGTATCAGTGTGACATCACAACTGAAGGAAAGTGAAGTTGGCTTGTTAAAAGGCACATTTTGAAAAAATTGTAATTCTCCATTTTTATGATATAGGAATCAACAGCTTTATGGTCCATTTCCAAAGTGCTCATCAGATTTCTAAAGGAAGTGGCCTGAAACAGTGGACCCTGTGTCTGCCTCTTGGGGAAACTCTGAGCACTTTCATCACGCATCTCAACATCTGCACTGACAATCTCTGCCCATTTATCAGCTACAAGCATGCAAGACACGGAGAGTTTGTCTTCGTCTCCAGAGCAGCTCCGGTCTCTGAGGAATCAGAACATCAACTCCCTGGAACAATTTTAAACAAGCTTTATCCTGAAACTTTACCTAACAAGGGTCTGACATATCCAAATGTAAAGATCCTTGCAGTATAAAGGATGATTATCCATCATAATACATTGGGTTCAATTTGAGAAAAAAACATTTAAATTCTCTTATGATACAATGTCATATTGTGTTAAGATTGATAACAATCTAGCGCCTCTTGAATAACTTCCGTTTCTTTGTTTTTGTACGCTTTTGTACAATTATGGTTAAAGATTTTTCTTACACCATATATTGAGCAAGGTTGAATTGGCAAGAGGATAATAATGAATCAGACTGATAGCACTATTTTTCTTTCAAATACTTTATAGATATTGTGATAATATTATCACCGGTGCATTGCTTTTGCCATGATAATTGTTTAGTGAAAGTCTGAAATCTTTACAGCCCTCAGCCAAAAATGCATTTAAATAGGAACAACTCCAAAAAGGAGAAATGAATGACTCAATGGTATGATTCACTTTTTTCTATCCAACATTTTTGAGGACACTTGCAAAAACAGGCAATCACATCATTAAGCAAGACTTTTTGGTTTCATTTCCCATAGATACAGGTATAAATAACTAAAGGCAAAAAAACAAAAACATAACGGACATCATGTCAAACGTAAATACAGTAATAACTAAAAAACGAATAATTCTAAAACAGAAACAAGTGTTATGTGCAGTTATGGGACCTTAACTGTGCAAATTGTTGCTAGCCAATTTCATAAATCATTAAATAACATTTGAAATACAAATGGTGGGGTAGACCTTTCCTTTTCGTAATTGGTCCTCTCTTAACTACACAGCTTACTTTAAGGAATGAGTATCCTACGCCTTGCTCATGTTTGTCTTTCCCACCCAGCTCTGTCCAGAGGGGGAAACCACTGTTGCTGTTCCGTTGTGGACAATTCAGAGAGGCATGTGTTTGATTAGATAGTGCTACATCTGGTTTACATAATGTTGAGGTAACTAGCACAGGCAGTAAGGAAGGTGATGATTACAGAAAATGCACTGTTGATCAACAGAAACGCAGCCTTATGAAGGTTAGATATCATAATGAAACCATATTTTAGCATTTGATCACATTAGGGAGTGACCTGCATTTTATTGGGCAATAGATTCATCATACTAAGCTGTCCGTGAAAGTCCAGGAATAATGTCTGTTTAAGCTCACATAACAAAGACGAAGTTCTTACCCTTCAGCTACAGAGCTTTTGAGTCTGTAATGTTCAGTGGTTGTTGACAACTGCTTTCTAGTTGCAGTTATCCTTCCTCTGCCCTTTTCTGGTCTCACAGTCTTAGCTCCGAAACTTTGAAAAGGGTACAGAAAAGGAATGTGGAGTTAGATATAGGAGGAGTCCTCAACACCCATTTCCTCTAGAGTTACTCTGCCCTCCCCCTCAAATGTGTGGTCTGGACCAATTTAATACCAACAATAGCATTCCTCTAGAACTGAATAAAAACTGAATATTTCCTCAAAAGCTGCACATATTCAATCTGTATTGAATTTTAGAACTAAATAAGATAAGGTAATGTGCTTACGTTTTTTCAGACTTCACACAGTTGAAACACATTTGTCGTAATTTCAACTGTGCTGGATGTGTGGGCTCGCAATGGTTACATTTTATATTATTAAAGCCTCACCTGTGCAAAAGCTGTTCTCATGCTGTGCAGTTGGCATGAGGACCACAACAGTATTTCCAGAGTGAGGTGATTGAAAGGCAGGAAGTAGGGCTGAATACTGCCCAATCTTTACTGTAGTGCAGGAAATCTCAAACCTCCCAGGATACAACATAGTGTTTAATAAATGTAATCACTAGGAAACATATCAATTTGCATAAGTATTCATTTTTGATAAAGGACCAAAAACAATGGCGGGAAAATATTATTTGTCCACCAAGGGCGAAAATGTATCATTTAATGTCACTAAGAAGACCATAAAAAAGTAAAAGCAAAGTAATACACAACATAAATTGCAAATAATTAACATGCCACAATTTTGCATGACCTCCTCCCCCTTAAAGCACAAAAGTACTCAATACAGGAATATTGTCACTATATGATAATGTTCTTACACATACATGTTCATCAGCACTTTACTGTTATAGCCAATCAATCTAAAAACAACCAGAGGTGGGAAGTAACTAAGTACATTTACTGTCCCGGGTACTTCCATGTTATGTTATGTTACTTTGAACTTCTCCACTACAATTCAGAGCTAAATGGTGTACTTTTACTCCACTGCATTTATTTAATATCTTTAGTTACTTTACAGATTTGGATTAATGATGTGATATATAAACAATTAAATAAGGCTTTAGTTACACCTGGAGTAAATTCACAATATACCCTACAGTATACAAAGTCATTAGAACTAGCTGCACTTTTACCAGCTTTTAAAAACACTTTTATACATCAATAAATATAATGAAAACATATAAATACATATTATTCTAAAATGGACCAATCTGCATAATGAGTACTTTTACTTTTGGTACTTTAAGTATATTTTTCATCTTAATACTTTGGAAATGTTACTTTAGTAACATTTTGAATGCAGAACTTTTACTTGTAAATAGTACTGCTACACTCTGGTACTTCTACTTTCACTCAAGATCTGACTTCTCCCACCTCTGAAAACAACACAATGCATAACTCAAACATTTAGCATAGCCTACACTACACATTTCTTACATTTTTTTTTAAGTAGCTTTAACTGTCACACTAGACCAGTGGTTCTCAACAATGCTGGCGCACTGGTGGTACGCCAGCTCCCACTAGTGGTACGCGGAGGAATCTGACATATAACACTTTTTTATTTTTTATTATTGTATTTAACCTTTATTTAACCAGATGAAAACATTGAGACAAAATCTCATTTACAATGCTGACCTGGCCAAGAAGGCCGTAATGTTACACGTTCTTACACATAACACGGACATGTGTGTATTTGTGCTGCTGTTAGTAACTGTCCCAGAATCTCATCTGGTAAAAACCATCACTTCCTCTGATTAAAATGTATGTTGTGTGTTACTGAAGTAAGACCAATCTTGATCAGTATCAGATGTTGCCCTTTCCTTGAAAAGAGGAAATCAAGAACAAATTCTGAAACTGAGACAACAGCTGACATATGGGGACATCAGAGCCAGCCCGACCCATTAAGCGACATAAGCGGCCGCTTAGGGCCCCGCAGCCACTAAGGGGCCCCCTAGCAAAAAAAATAAAAAATGAAAATGCCGTCGCCGTGATAAGTATGTTTAATTAATTGTGTTAATATGCTTAGATTGCCTACTCTCAAAGTCATGTATTATATTATTGAGTCAATAATATAATACATCCGTGCTTTACCTGAACCTCATCATGACACTGGAGAGGACGGCAGGATTGTAATTTCCCATGTTCAGTGAATGCAACAGAGGCAAGACACCAGACCAACCAGAGAGTTGAATGGAAATAAACATCTGTCTTATTGGCTGACAGGTACCTATCCTGTGAGCTGTGACAATGTTTAAAATAAACTGTCAGTCGGACTCAGAGTTTTTGAAGATGGACATAAGAAAACATTTCTTAAAAAATACGACAATTCTCAAGTGGTGGCTCACACAACACCCCCAGAGCCACCACTTGAGCCAGGTAAACAAGGTATGTAAATGTCAGTAAACTTCCAAGTTATGCGAACATGTAAGCAAAGCATAAATTACAGCTACGTTGACGTTACTTTGAATCGCGGGTTAAGCTAAACCGTTAGCAAGTAGCTATAGCTAGCCAGATATATTAATAACACTTTGTCATACAACCTAAAATGTAATGTTTTTTAGCGTTACCTCGGAGGATGTGTTGTGGTTTCGTGTCTCGATAACTGTTTCCCTTTTAATACACTTTCATTTTCTAGTCTCTATGTGAAGTCATGTATTCAATGATCGGGAGTGGAGTGGAGGGACCCCTTTAACATGTTGGACGGCGAGCGAGAATCGATGGAACGTCATTTCGTAGGGTAACGGGTCGAATTTAAATCGGTGATTTGGGCAGTCGCGATGAGACGAGAAGGGATGAGTGATGTGGTATTAGTGGATACTAACTTGTAGTTAGCCCGAGATTGAGAGCCGACCATTCCTTATGAAACCACCTATCCGACGCAGGAGCCGGGTGGGAAGCCGAGAATAAAATGGACGAAGATGAATTTTTATCTACCAGTTAGTTGAGCATATATATGTGATTGTAATAAATAGTAATAGTACCATTTTGGGAGGTTATCGGGTGCACAAAGGATTCCATTACTCTCGTACTCTACGAATATCTCTTAGAAACTGTTTGGAGAAAGCGACACAATACAGTATACATGTCTCGTTACCCAGATGTCTGTTCAAGACTGTGTTACTTGTTACGAGTTTTTACGGGACTTGTTTGCCAACATAACACACCCATCGCAGTGTGATTCGGATTGTTCAAGAAGATGGACTGCTATTTCCTTTCGAACAATAAACTCTGAAAATTAAGAAGGGTGTAAGCTATGGAAAAACTTAACCCCTTATTTGAGTTTCCCTTCGTGTCGACAACACTCAACATAATCCAACACTTTCTTTCGTCTATAGTTTCAAGTTCTTCAATTCCTTTGTTTCGCTGTTTCCTTAGAACCAATAGTTGTGTTAAGAGACAGTTTTCGTTTACAGTGTGTGCGATAATTTTGTTGTGCTATTCTTCGCTATACCACCGATTCGATACTACCGTCGGGAGTGTAAAAAAATTTCGTCTACTTTCCTAACACAGTACGTAACCTAACGTATTATAAGGCAGTTATAACATTAGACAAAACGAGACGATGACAATTGGCCACACACAGTGCCCAGACT